CTACGTCACGTCCCGGAAGGTGCAGTAGAAGGGTCCATTCCGTGAAAATTTGTGTAAGTCCCAATTTACTAAGTGTTGGAAAAAACCTTTAATCGTTTTTGTTAGGAGTACAGTTTGCCGTTCGGGAGCGCTTACCGCTTCTGACGGGGTATCTCCCGGTCAGGAATGCCGCCCTGCTTGGTGAACACATGGATGCTGCCGCTAGGTGGTGTGTCAGCTTCGCTCCTTCAGAAGCTATGCGGTCAATGTTTGGAGTCCTGTGATAGTAAACGATACTCTGGGAAAGACTGATGCGAGCGTGAGAATAAAAAAAAAGGTTTTGCAAAAAACAAGTTGCTTTCATTACGAAATATACGTGGTCATGAAGGTTAAACAAATGACACAGAGTATGGCGAATAATCTACTCTTCAAATTTTTTTATTTACATTTTCGTCTTTTTTTTATTTTGGCATTCTACGACATTGATACCGTTTTTAAATATTTTTTATGCAACTTACGCGGTATTTATTTTCTCATTTTTGTGTTTTATATGATTTACAGTATGGTTGAAAACTTTATTTTTTGTTGGAAAAAGGCCGAAAATTCATGCACGCGCGGACTTCATCCATATAATCTAATCAACATGGCCTTAGTTCCGTACGGCAAAGCCCCGACAGGGGGCGTTCATTGCAAGTTTGAATGTACGATAAATCACGTACAACACCGCCGTGGCCGTCCGGGTAGTGACCCCTTTCCACTGGGGAGTACCCTGGGTGTCAAACTAGTATAGAGCCGCTAAACCTTCCCATTCGGCAGCTAGAAGCCCTTCGCCCGCCGGTCTAAATTACCGCTACAGGGGTGTTGAGCCCGAGGGGGAATTTGGTCAGGATCAACTCCCCCGTAGCGGTTATTTAGACCGGCGGGCGAAAGGCTCTTGGCTGCCGAAGGGATAGGGTTAGCGGCCCGAAACGAGTTTGGCACCCAGGATAACTGGGGAGGCGACCTTTGAGCGACGAAAAATATAATCAGAAATTCAAACGATAAAGAAGTGTCAGTGCTCGAAATTTACATTGTCCCAATTGCCACTTAAGAAAATTTAAGCCAAAACTAAAAATACACTTGGGGACATTTTATGGCATACCTGATTGTGTCGTTTCCGAAGCAGCCGACGTCCCCGTAGCCCATGTCATCCACCATGAAGAGTAGAAAGTTTGGCCGGTCGTCCTGCTTAGAGGTTACTGACAAACACAACAGCAGGCAGAGCAGAGAAAACCGGACAAAACCAGACCAGACTGGCTCCAAGGACTTTGTCGTCCCCGCTGCCATGTTGGAACTGCAAATACTTGGGAGGACAACTTTTGAAAAGTGACTATACACCTGTTTTGCCCTCCACTCCACTCCACTCGTATATTCATACTTGTGGTAAATTCAAATAAAACTAGAAAGACCGACATTTGCTCAGGAGCAAACGCAGCATGCCTTCACCACATCCCCCATACCAAGATGGACCTATCCCCCTCCCACACAAATGGATTGGTCCTAAGTCACCCCTGTTCAAAATGTGGTGTGTTCTATAACAGTCTATACCCCCATGCAGCAATGGAATCTTCCAATGCCCTTTGCTGTTAAACAATTACGTGTTGTACTTCAACATTCTGTTTACCCATGGCAAACTGTCAAACGCGATTGATAAGCTCAACTAGAGCTGTTTATTCAAGGCTTGTGACTTAAAGAACTGTCTATAGAAAATACATTGCAGCTTTACCAACAGGCATGTGCCAAGCTAAGAGAGCTGGGTAGCCAAAGGTCAAGGTCAATTTTGGGCCTCCTGGTGGCTGACCTTAGTGCTGCAGCAGAACTTCCGGCTTTTGTATCTTTTATCCTGGACATACTATGGTCTTGAATTTTCGGTGACAGATAGATTTTCCTGTCAGGAATAAGTGGTGTGGGTTTGGTCCCCCTAGCAGCTTGTTCTAGAACTGCAGGGGACCTTCGGGCGAAATCTTAGAAAGCCAATAAGTCCAGAAAGGAACACCATATTTTCATCATTTTTGGTAGGTAGGTAGCTGAGAAAGAGATGAACATAAATAAACTCACTCAAATATCGGCCTATAAACACACGCGCAGACACCTACATATTCTCTTTTCCCCCCGTATCTATGGCTAGTGTATGAACAGATACCAAATATGCAAATACGGACCTAATTTGCATAGTTGATCTGACAACTCTATAACCCCTTAATGGTAAATGATGGGGATATTATACTTGGGACATGTGTAAGTTAATTAAAAGGTAACACCACGATGCATCTATTATGTTAATGTAGAGGTCATTTGCATAATTAAAGAAGAAATGTTCATTTTTATACCAAGCCCATACTTCATAGAGGTATGAGGTCTTGAAACTCTTATTTGTCTTGTTACTAGAAATGGGCCATTCTGTTTATTTGCTTTTTACAGTTTAAGTCACAGTCTTTTGATACTGACTGGCAGTAGTAGTAGTAGTATAGCATTCTTCGAAAAAGTAACATATTAATTTGACCCTAGTGTTAAATGACAAAAACACACTCAAAACAGACGCTGTACACCATGACCACATTTTATTCCGTAAACACATTACTCCAGATGTTTCCATGTCTTATCAGAAGGCATAATAGGTCTTGATAATCTGCAAATTAACAAAGTAATTAGATGGCAACAGTTTACTTATCGACAGAATTTGCTAAATTTCTATAAGTATAAGGTCTCATTCATCAATACATTGAGGACCATGCATTAATGTGGGTTTTACCAGGTCGCGTTGCTAATGATTTAACGTTGCTAACAGTTTAATTAATACCCTACAATAATCATATGATTTGTCGAGCACATTTATTCTCCATCACATGAAAAATTTGCCCACGACTTCTGTTCACACAATCCATGTTTATGACAATTACAAGCTGCAAACCTAAGACCGCACTACTCAGGGCACTGGACTATAAACATCCGACCTATCGCACATCTGACAAAAAGTACGTCCTAATGTCCTCCGTTACAACCGAGCTTTCACTACTTTGACGTTTTAAAGCCATCGGGATGGTTAAAATCAAACCCCTCACCACTACAAACACTCTTTCATGCAGCCGTTTAATTTTTAGTTCGGGACTAATTAACGTAGGTACATGAATGAGACCATGAGCTATTATATGTACATGTATGCCATCAGTATCTGTATTTAGTATACAGAATCAACTATTGCTTAAATACCTCCGCCAGAATGGTACCACGTAAGTACTATTGCAGATCCGAATGTAATATCTAGCACAGAAATCAGTTTGTTCAGTTCAGTTCATCCTAATCAAGTGACACCATGTACTGTCTTCACAAGTTCCTGTCACGCATGACAGAGGACAGTTCAGCACCGCCCAGAAATAACTATACTTAATCATTAATATAATTTAATATAATTTAAGGCTTATATGAAATTATAAGTAAATTATGCCACATTAACCATGTGTTCTGTCTAAATAGTCATGGTGACTTTACTTTATTTGGACTAATCTACACCTGTATACATTTTTTTTTCTTTTTAAGTAGAGTTGGATCATTTTCTTAAAGACATAAAAGTTCAATGTAAGACAAAAGACCAAATGAGAAACCATTAATTGCAGTACATTATAATCTGAGTTTACAGTAAGCGATTTTGTAATTCTATGCAGTCTATCAGATCGTGAGCAGAACATCAAGAAATCCAAGCCTGCCGAACATCCAGGCAGCCACAAGTTAACTTTAGCTGATCACTTCAGCAACTAAGCGTCAGAGAAAAGATATTCCTGTTCTGGATGTAAATATGAAGTCCAGTTTACCTATTTATTACACAGTCACGTAATTATAAAGTCCACTACTCCAAGTACAGATTGAAAACGACGTGCACTATTATTGGTATGATAATAAAGCAGCCTGTTTGAGTTTAGATTAAAATCCTGTACATGGTAATAAACCACATTCTACAACCATTAAGGCCTACATTGACTTGATTTTAAAGATAAAATTTACGCCAGCAAATATTTTATCTGGTTATAAGGAATTAGGCTCTGAGAAGTTTTACGCATACGTTCTTAATTGTGCTTATAACAATACCTAATCCTGAACTTTACCGTTCAGGCAAAGAGTTATATACAATAATATCTGGATAAAATACTATCTCTGTGATAGCATGCAAAAAGTTAGTTTTTTACAATACCTACTGGAATAGGACTGTGTATCTCCTAATCTAATTTAATAACCTGGGCATCATATTGGTGAGAATTAGATTTTAGGTACCTAAGGATCTCCTCCCTTAATCCAGGTGTAGCTGAACTACATTAAATTGTGCAAATTCCCATTACAGCAAGTGCTAAACTTGATAAATAACGTGAATAAAAGTATCAGGTATCCAATAACATTGTTTAAAAGTATCAGGTATCCTATAACATTGCTTAAAATTCTCAGAATGCATATTATATACTTGTTATAACCATATTCAGCCGGGGAGGGGGGCTTTTGTGTCGGCTAGCACATGAACGGCTCGTACTAGAACCGTCAAATTTGGTGACCTTCCCTTAAAATATCTGGCAACAATTTCATATTAATTAGATAAGCTCCTGATTTTTTGTGTTGCCATTAAAATTCTATCTTAGACACTTTTGTTAAAGTTTGGTTGTATTCCTTTACATTTTCCGGAAAAACAAGTTTTGACGGGTTTCCCCCCAAAAAAATCATTTAATTAATGACGACAAAATGACGTCATGATTACACAAAAAATGTTTTTATACATTAATTTCATTACTACACCATTCTCTCAAAACTTGGTGGCCCTACGGTAAGTGGTTGTTGGGTTACAAGGAGCGAGCCTNAACCCCCCCCCCCGGTCCTGAGCATCCCAAAAAAAGCCCGGTCTGATTAGGGTTAAACAAGTGGGATCAAACTTCTGAGACATTTATCATAGATCGATAGATAACGTGACAAACGGTCCATAGATCGATGTTGATGCTACACCTTTACTTGCTCAAATACATGGTCATAGGAACGGTTGCGGCGATGCTGATGAAGTACAGGACAAGACACAGCCTGTCCAGGACTTTGGCCAGCAGAATGTAGTCAGACACTTCCTCTTCGTTCTTCACGGCCTTGGTCAGCTCTCTTATCTCGGCATTGGTCAGATCTCCAACTTCCCTGACCACCGTAATCAACTCTTTAACGCTGGCGTTTAGCTCTGAGAGTCCAGATGATCCGAAAGCATCCTCAGTAGGGGTCGATGGCTGCTCGCTCCTCTCATGGCCACCGAAGTATATGACTTCTTCGTCAGCCTCCGACACGTTATCGGTTTCATAGGCGCAGTTGGTCAGCTCTATGGCGGCGTGGTTGATCACGTCAACCTCTTCATCGTTTGCTTGCTTATTTGCTGTCAGATCACCCAACAGCAGCATCCTGAAAAAACAAACAAAAAATGTACAAAACTGTTAAAATCATTCCAATGAATCTGACTTCTATGAATAATACTACCTATATATTAGTAAATGTTTGATTAGCCTTCGTTTGGTAATAAAATATTTACATTAATGACATAATGAAAAAAGGTTCGGTTCAGACAAACAATGATAAGATACGGGTTATCCGATTGAAGTCCTGGTGAGTTTCTATAAGATAAAATTTAGTAAAGAAAATAATCATATAAGGCGTTAGATAAAATGTATTCAAATGACAGCATCAAGGAAAAATGAATTATAATGCTGGCAAAAATATTATCAGCGAAAGTAATAAACTGAATATTAAACTATATAGAAACCCATTACAAAGTTTCAGGTTAGTTAATGTTTTAGATATCGATAATGTCATGTTATACACAGATATCATTAACGACATCTAATGCACTTTTTAATTCAGTGCGGCAAAAACGTTAATTTCCAAGGTCAATTTTCATGTTCATTCTTTTAATGCATTAAGTTGAATCAACCCTTTTCCATAGTATGATATATTTGTTAGGTTACACTGATTTGATTTTATGATTTTATGGATGTCATCTGCGTGCGCATTGATTTTCGACCTCTTCTAAAAAAATCCTTCCTCCAAAGCTCTGGCCTGGGTGCCATCCTCTGCCCAAAAACGAAAGGAAGGTACCTTGCAATGTAGCGGAGGAAAATTGTCTTTGCCGCCGGAGACAGGCTGCCCTCCCGGTCATGGATGACGATGATGACCAGAGTAAAGAACAGGAACAATCCCATCAGGCCCATGCATGTGATGATCAGCGTAGCTGTAACGTTACAGGTGGTAAACAGTTTCTGTAATGGAGCATTTCCCTACAACCTTCTTAAACGGATGATTTTTAAAGAAGTACTGTAACAGTATGGGGAACTGGCTGAAGGCAAAAGGCTAGCGGGCCGCCCCAAGCTCCGCTTCAAGGACAGCCTCAAGGCAACTCTGAAGAGCCTCAGCATTCCTGTCGAAAACTGGGAGGACGCTGCCACTGACCGTCACCAGTGGCGCAGACTAGTCCACCAGGGCGCCGAGCTTGCTGAGCGTCGTCGCATCAGCCTGGCTGTCAGTAAGCGGGAGGCACGAAAGGCGAGGGAGAAAAACCCGTCTCTGCAACCACTACCTGAGCACAAGTGTGACGTCTGCGGCAGGTGCTTCCGGGCTAGAATTGGGCTCGTCAGCCACACCCGGACACACAAGGACTGAAGTTGGGGTCATCATCGACTGCGATGGACGAACATCATCACTGTAACAGTTGTGTCAAATAGAATTTAACTCACCGAAAAACGGCAATGACCCCTTAACAGGAAGTACGTCTGTCACAAACACCAGGGACACGACCATGGAGAGTAGAATGGTCACTCCAAACGAGATCCGGTCGCCCTTGTCCAAGGGTATAATAAAGGTCATGCTCATCAGCACAACCAGGATGATGCAGGGTCCTACAGTAGTGGCGATGTGGAACAGGGGGGCCCGCGACAGGTGTAGAACAAAGCACGCTTCCCTGTTGTCTTTAGCAAATATCTTATCCTTCCGGTTCCACTCGCCCTCCGTTTTTGTAGGAGAGTAAGAGTTGCACGGAATGTTCCCTTTGTATGCTGCAGACCTGCCTCCTTGGCATTCTATGTTCAACATATGGTTTAAACATATTATGACTTAGAGTAATTTCCACATCATTTTGATGCTCATTATTACAATGTATTCAAAACTTAGGTCAAATTTTATTTTGCATAAAAATACTCTTATCATCTATCTATTTGAGCCACTGCAATACTACATTTGTTAATAATAATAACAAATGGTTTTTATTGTCCAAACAGTACCCGTGCAGTCGCAGCCTTTATACGGCTGAATTGATGCAGGGTATCATATAATAATCAATACAAATCACAACAATTACAACAATTAAATAATACACATAATACACATATTTGCTGCACAATTATTTTTTGTGGAACTGTCGCAAGGGTCTGTGCGGCTGCCATTCGGCGCCACAAGGTGACCTCAATACGACTTTCCCCAACCGAAGTTAGGTACCCATTCACACCTGGGTGGAGTGAGGAAAGTCGTGTAAAGTGCCTTTCCCAAGGGCACAACGTCGGGGCGCATGTTCAGACATGTACCGGGTACGACTCGGAATCGAACCCGGGTCTCCCCGCTTCATAGTCGATTGCTCCAACCACTACACCACCCGGCGCCACATTTGGTAGATGTTATTTAACCAGGATGTTAGAAAACATTTAAGATACGTACTATATGAGTTGAATATGCTTACTAGTCTGTAGCATTTAACTAGTAAAACACTCTTGTCCACTTTTGTTTAACTGTAGTTACAGAACAAGCTGCTAGGGAGCCAATACTAACGTCACTTCTTGTCGATCACAAGGGCTCTCTATCAAATATTTATACTCTAGGAGATGAATCTATTTTTAGTTACCTTCGCCAAGAAGGTTAATGTTTTCAGAGGCGTTCGTGTGTGTCTGTCTGTCAGTCTGTCTGTGGACACGATAACTCGAGAAGGCTTAAATGGATTGTCTTCATACTTGGTAGGTGGGTAGGTCTTGATGAGATCTCAAAATAATTAGATTCTGGGCCCCCTGGCCTCTTGTTGTGGTACTGCAGCTGAACTTCCGGTTTTGATATCTCTTGACCTAGACGTGCTAGGGTCAAGAAATTTCTATGAAAGGTAGCTCTTGTGCTGGGGAAGAAGTGACATAGGTTTGGAACTGCAGGGGCGTTTCTTTAAAAATATTCAAAAGAGGATAACTCAAGAACCGGTTGATGGATCGTCTTGATTTTTAATATGCAGGTAGCTTAAGTGACACTTGACGTAATTATGTGACAATTATGCAAATCTGGATGCGATCTGCATAATTTATGAGGAAATTCTATTAATCAGCTGCATTACATTATAGGACTATTTAAGCTTGTGATATATGTAATTGAGAACAAGAGAAACATAGGCAGATATTGATTATGTAAATTAACCCTATCTACACCGGGCTTTTTGGGGCTTGGTGGGACAAACCCTATGATGTTTACGGGTTATAAAGGGGGTGCGGGGTTGAGCCCCCTCCAGTCCCATGAATTCCCAGAAAGCCCAGTATATATAAGCTTAAAAGCCTTACGGATGATGGTTTCCTTGATCGCCGTGGCTGCAGAAAAGCACACATGACATTCCAAGGTGTCTGAAGGAAATAGGAAGGGATCTGCCTCACACACGGTGGTAGTCAGGGTTTCTACAACCCAGTGCACAGTACCATCGCTGCTCACTTCTACCGGCACATCCTTCTGTAGGCCTTTGTAACTCGGATCCGCGCTGCGAATTCAAAACAATTTTTGTTATCTGCCTTCCATCGTTTATGTCTTATATGTTATTGCCTTCGTCAGAAGAGTATGTATTCTGTTTGGCTGTGGTGTGAGTCCGTATGTAGTTCATAGGGATTTTTACACTCCATTGAAAATGGTGTGTTGTTTTCAGTCTGGATGATGTATTTGTGTATATCTCAAGATCTGGTACACGGAATACGATGATATTTAGCAGGTGGGTAGGTTGGGTATAGAGAATTATGTTGGTTGACTTTGGGTAAGAATTTTTTTTAAATATCGTTGACGCTGGATGGTCTGTGGATGTGATGTTTGGGTAGCATATATTTGTTGACGTAAGGGTTTAGTGGTGCAAATTTGATTTTAGTAAACCATATATAGATTAGATTATGATAAATGTAATCATCACATTTCTATGATCAATGAGAAAAATAGAAAAAAAAAATTACAAAGGCTCTAAGTATTTTCATGTAGGTATGCGGTCTTCGAATTCTTGTTGGAAGACTTACTTTCTTCTTAGGGTAAATGTTGGCGTCCAAATTCTGTCTCCTGGAATGCTGACTGTCGTGATGTTTTTGTAGCCGTCTTGATTCCATCTCAGTCGGTTGTCTATCCATGTCTAGAAAAAGAAAACATTTTACTCCCCAAAAGTAAAATGTCAATGAGAAAATTCTTTACGTCTTTTAAAATGTGGAAATGACGTGACAAGAACATTGCATCAATACGGCATTTCATAAGGTAAATTTTTCAAACTGTACCAACTTACGAAATCGATGGCGACAGATGCAACAAGCTGCTCCTTCTTTTCATCCTAAAATTATAAGAGTAACAACATATATTAAAATGTATTTATCATCATTTTTTTCATACCTGTAATCCAAAAAGAAATTTTAACACAATAAAGCACTTACCAAGTCGGCTATAATGTCCACAGATCCCGTGAATTTGATGATGATGCTCTCAGGTGACAGAGAATTCCCCACCAAATCCTCTTGTAGCATTTCCCAATGGTTTACTAAAGGAATGGTAGATTTAATATGATGTTCATACTGCAACAATATTTTTCGGTCACGCAGCAACATGCTGGATTAAAAAACAATTAACGCGTTGCAGTTGTTACGCGACATTTTGGTACATGACATTTACCTGAACAACTGGGCTTGCCTGGTTGCCAGACGCCTTCTTCGATGCACGTCGCTTCGCTGTCATTTGACGTAAGTTTGTATCCTTTGTTGCATTTGTACGTGACCTTTTCTCCTACATAGTAGAACTTCTTTCGGGGACTTGTATTGCCGTAGTTTGGAGGACCTCTGTCCCTGCAGCCTTCAGCATCTGGTATGGTATGGTAAAACGGGTAGTGTCAAAGCCATCACCTCATGAGCTAGCTAGCACACAGGTATGTTGCTTCTTTTTGTCCAAAAGAGGTAAACGAATAGTTCTGGTAAGCAAGACATAACCGCGCAATATACATCATTTGCTTCGAAAATGCCCTTGCCTGTGCATCGTGAGTTTAACAATAAATAACGACAAACGTACCGAGACACGTTATTGTGTGTTTATAAATCATTTTCTTACGAGGCAACCTACCACAATGTAATGTCACATTCCTCCTGGCTACCGTCTTCGGTCAAACAAAATGGTCGCTCCAGACCGGTGGGGTTACGGCAGTAGTTGTTATCCAGGTTTGCCCAGGGGAACTCTGTCTTGTAGTAACCAGCTTGCGGAGCTGACCACTGGACACAATCTGCCCCTGATGCAGTTTTACTCCATGTACCACGGTAATTCATTCCGTTGCCATGGTAGCAAACTAAGGAACAAATATTATCAGGTATACTAGCATACATATGCCAAATTATATGTTCCTAAATAAATGTGATAATGTTTTTGCCGATATCAAACATATCTTATGGCTATAAAATAAAATAACCAAATAACGCTATCATAATCCTCTAATTAGCGAAATCAAGATGTAAAAAGATACTTTTCGTTTCACGAAAATGAATTTATGCCTATCTCTCTAGCCGATACAACAGATTTTAACAGCCAGAACAAATGATCAACCAACACGATTTGCTCTTTGGCGGGAATAAGAATATTTTTAATGTCAGAATGGGATCAGCCCCCAATAAAAACAGTCGTAGGAAACCATGGTTCCCCACACTAGGCAACTCGCCTGGTGGTTCCCATGGGAATCGATATACACAATTTCTGATAGGATTTGTTATGTAAAGATAACATGTCAAATCTACAAATTTTCATACATCATAATACTAGTATTCTATTGTCAATCAAGAATTTTTTCCACCACTTAACTTGGTAACAAAGGTTGATAATTGCTAACTTTTAGACACGAAAAGAAATATGTGTATACATATAAATAAATGGATACATATATGTATATATAATATATATATATATATTTGGTATACAAAAACCGTAGTAAAACGTGACGTATCTAACTACGTGAAGAACTTGGTAGACATGTCATGAACATAACTCGGCTGGTATATATAAGTAGCTAACTGACTAATATCCAAAAAAAAAAGGTTGATACCTTGAACATGGAACTGGACCATAAGCATAATTAAATGGGATTAGTCAAAACTAAAATTAAAAACTAGGTACAAATGTTACTTGGTATATGAATACTGCAAGAACTTCGGTGAGTAAAATTGATACAACCGAACAAATTTGGTGTATCGGTAAAAGATAACAAAACAGTTGTTAATAGGAACAAACCGCCTGATATAGACGAAAGTAATGATTAAAACTTAAAGCACAATGACTGCAGGGATATAATAAACTGTGCAGGTATCCCGACACGTGGTAACTCACCACCGAGTCAGTACTGTTGTTACTAGGATATTACAACTCGCCACTGAGACATTTTGTAACAGTATTACATACGAAGATATTTCCTGAATGCGTCTGGGGACCATCGCCCTAACCTCCGGATGGTTGTATCAGGAACACCTTGCAAAGCAGCTTGGGTTGCTGCCCCAATGCGGAACGAGTGCGGTGTATATCTGTGTGGATCTAGGTTTGTTTGAATGACGCAAGCATGAAGCACTTTTGCAAAGTAGTCACTGGTAACTGGAGAAGCGTTTTGTGTCAGGAACAGATACCCCGGTCCTCCCCCCCTCAACTGTAGATATTGCCTGATGTTCCCTACTGGGCAGTATCGGCTGTCCGGCTGCGCCAGAATAGAAATGGTAGACGGGTTGGACGCCTTGCTATGCTTGTACGTCTTAAATGTGACCACGAATGAAGTAGGGTTACCGTGTGCATCTAACTCAGCGTGAACGTCAGATATTGTCAACGTGTGCTGGGCTTCGCGCGTGATGGCAACCTCGCCGACGCGAGCGAAAGCGTAGTACATAAAAAGGACATTGTCTTGAACAGACAGTTATCGTATTCCTTGGGAACTATGTGTGTTAGAGAGTGTATCAATCTGTGGAGGATGGGAAGGGTGATAGGCAGCCTGCCGTCTGGTGCGTGGTTCCTCTGAATTGAATGTAATAACTTGCGGACAAAGAAAGTTGAGGTGGGATCCGTAAGGTTTTGTAACTTATGGATGAAGCTGATGGCAGAAATCTTAGATGTAATAGAAGAAGGGGCGAAACCCTGTTGATGTAGGTATGCAATAAATCGGCCTATCAGCGTTTCAGGAATGGGCAATTGTGTCGTGTCCTTGCCATGAATTGCTACATTGAACTGACGGAAATGTGTCCACGCAAGGCGGTACGCATTGACCGTGCCTGGCGCTAGGGAGTGCAGAAGTAAGGTGTTCACTGACTGATCAAGTTGCTGGGCTGGAGATAGGGTGGGATGTGCGTCGGGCACCGGTCCATGTGGGGATATCTCTGTCGAAAGAGGTCCACCTGCAACCAGGATAAAGAATCAGCCATGTCATTCCTTGACCCAGGGATGTGTACTGCTTTAAACAGGATATTAAGACGAAGGCTTATAAGTACAAATTTGCGCACCAGTGGCATGATTGATGGGTTTTTGGAGGTCTGTCTGTTGATAATATGGACGAGGGCTTCGTTGTCCGTGTGCAACATAATGCTTCGATTTGACCACTCTTACCCCAAACAAAGATAGCTACGACAATGGGGTGGAATTCTAGTATGGTTATATTTATGTTCCGGAGAGAGTGGGGCCAATCTCCAAAGAGCCACGCAGTCTGAAACACAGCGCCATATCCCAGAGAACCCGCTGCGTCTGTGTATAGGTGGAGGGTTGTATTATTGATAAAATGATCATCTATGAAAAAGGACTTTCCATTAAATTGCTCCAAGAATTCACTCCATATTTGTAGATCCAGTCGAGCCCCTGTGTCTATATTTATTTGTGTTGTCTTACGGGACTTTCTTTTGGTTAGATCAATCAAACGGCGGAGAAAAGCGCGACCCGGGGAAACTACTTGACATACGTGATTCAACAGTCCAACCAGCGATTGAATCTCTTTTAAGGAAGCCGATGAGCGCTGGATGAACTCTTGAACTGCATTCTTACACCTATATAGCTTGTCTAAGGGCAATCTCGCCTCCATTGCTATGGTATCAAGTTCAATCCCAAGGAAAGACATGATTGTATCAGGGTGGAGAGTTTTCTCCCCAGCCAGAGGGACCCCTACGTCTTGACACATGTCGCAAAATGCTGCAAGATCCCGTTCACAAGACGCGTATGTGTCGTTTGCGAACATAAAATCGTCTAAAATGTGAGTGGGGTATCGTATGTTGAGTTTTTGTACTGCCACCCACTCTAACGCGGTGCTGACTGCTTCAAAAATAGCACAGGAAGTGGAGCAGCCCATTGGCAAGCATCTATCGTAGTAGAACCCATCATTAAGCTGGAACCCCAGAAGGTGTTGATCGTTTGGGTGAACTGGGATGATTCGAAAGGCGGATTGTATATCTGTCTTAGCCAAGTAACACCCTGGACCTAGGGTCTTGATATGTCTGATTGCGGCATCAATATTAGCATACGAAGTAGAAGCGAATTCCCGAGGGATGCCGTCATTAACAGAGCTGCCGGCTGGGTGGGACAAGTCGTGTATCAACCGATATTTGCCAGGCGTCTTTTTTGGCACTGCGAATAATGGAGACAGGAATATGTTTGGGAAAGGGGCTGTCTTAAAAGGACCAAGTATTCGCCCTGCCTCGAGCTCGGATTTAAGTTTTTCTCGGATAACTGGGGACTGCCAAGAATTGGAGGGAATGAAGTTAGGTGCCGGGCGATGCCTGGGGCCAAAATAATCCAAGGCAAAGCCGAGTGTAAAACCACGAATTATGTAATCTCTTTCAGGATTACTGTAGCCCTCTAAATAGACAGCTAAGCGGTTAACGTCCACGGGGGTTGGCAGTTTTGGGCTGGGTGCTCTTGGGACACGTGTACTTTGTGTGCAGGCCGGAGCAGGTTGGGCATGTGTGTTTGTAGGGGCAATTTGTCGCGTTAGGACAGTATGATCCGGAGATGTGGTAACGAAAACAATAGCCTCGAGGCAGAGAGTTGTCATTGCCCTGTGAGTGTTGTTGTCGGGGCTTGGATGTTGTAGGAGACGAGCCAAACTGGTTGAATGCATCTACGTAGAGTTGCATATGTGGCACGTCCCAGGGGAGATTTGGGGTATTGTGCCGAAGCTGCCTGAAGAGCACGTCATACTTTCCCCACTGAGCACCTCGCTCTGCGAGGGATCTGATCAGGTGTGAGTACATTATCAGTTGGGGGCTACGCGCGAGATGCTTTTGGATATATATGTAGTGGTATACAGAAAAAGCCAGTGACCACTGAGACAAAGTAAGGTATTGCTTATTGCTCTCTGAGGGGCTCGCCAGTGTCAGGGTTGGTGATCCTTCCAACGAGTCCAAGTTGACTGTGTACTGAGAACGAGGACGGGAGTTTGGGAGTAAATTTTTGAAATCAACGAACTTGTCCTCCCAGATCTTGTTTTTTATCATAACTGAAACTCCCGTGTCTAGGGGGAGATGGACACCCGCCTGCATCAAAGAATTGTCCATGCGATAAGCGATTGAAGACGGATCACCAATGGCTGACACTGGCCTTACATGTATCTGCCCAGAGCTACTGACTGTACTAGTAGCGTTACCTAGCCCTGTTATGTTGGAGGCCAGAGTGGTGCCCAGTCCGAGAGACTGGGAGATGCTGCTGGGTGATGGCATGCGCAGACCAGGCGGTGACAGGCCGAGCGTCGCTGTCGTTGAGTAGATAGGGACGGTGCTGGACGAGGTAGCGACACTTGTCGCTAGGATACTGTTCTGTAACAGCGACACACTTGATGCAGTGGTGACGGTGTTAGGAGCAGTGGTTACTGCAGCTGTTACGGTCGCGGTTGTCACCCCTACTGTAGCAGTTCCAACCACGCCCCCCTGAACGCTTGTAGGGACTGCTAGTGGGTGGGCACTGGTCTCAAGTCTGTCCATGAGTCTCGTGGTGACCTCCTGAAGGTCGTGCAGCTGCTTCTGCAACGTTTCATGGTGAGTTTGGGTGGCTTCTGCGTATGTCCATCCCCGGTCGTGGACTGCTCCTCCACGGTGACTG